CAACAACGATACGCGATTTAAATCCGGACAAATAGTTTCATTTCCTATGTGTAACAATCGCGAAAACCTAAGAACTCGATTAATAAATTTATTAATAATTTTATCTTGACAACTGGTACAATACTGTTGCTAAGAGATTGAAGATGTAGATTGCCATATTGTCAGCTTTTAATTTACAAGACACAATTATAGACAATTCAATGAAGACCTTTTCAAATGATGTACATATTAATAGTTCTACAACTGTTTCTAGTTTAAGTAATAATAACACAATGACAAATTCAGTTTTAAACTGAAGTGTAAGACAAAAACCACGCCCCACAATTTAAATATTGTTCACCAAAATATACAGGGCTTGGCTGACAAAAATTTAGATTTAGAATTATGTTTTGATAAACATAACACAGACATTCTATGTATAACTGAACATTGGCTAAAGAACTATGAAACATCATTTACTTTAAAAAATATTCTATGTCTAGTATTTATAAACGACAAACAAACAGCTATTCTTGGTGGATCTGTGATATTCGTTAAAATAGCCTGAAATGTAAAAACCGTAAAGATATCGTGGGCCTTTCAAAAGAACGTACCATTGAGACATCCTGTGTGGAGTTGACGATTTTGTTATTGTTTGCATTTATCGACCCCCGCTGGGAGAATTTTGTGCCTTTGAATCAATTATGAAGGATGTACTCAGGAAATTGAAATCAAAGAATAGATTTGTTGTAGTAGGCGGGGACTTTAACGTTAATCTCATTGAAAATAAACCTATTAATCTCCGTCTAGTATCTTTATTCAGATGTTTTGGATTATCTCATCAGTTCCTTGAACCCATCAGGGTAACGCCTCATTCTGCCACATGCCTAGACAATATATTTTCAAATTGTGATGCTGTTGTCAAATCAGTTTTTAATAAACTTCCATCTGACCACTATGGTCTGCAGGTTAGTTATAATTCTAAAATATCGGACAAGCCTAAATCGATCAAGAGCAGGTCAGTAACTGAAAAATTACTGGAATGTTTCAAACTTAATTTAGATAAAAAAGTTGTTTCGTTGCCATTCATCCGTGATGATCCAAATGTGCTTTTTGGAAGTCTATTTAATTTAATAAAAAATGAATTTGATCAAGTGTTTACTACCAAATTCTTCAAATGTTCTAAAATGAAGTTCTGTGAGCAGGCCATGACGAGCATTTATAGAAGTAGAATTAAGCTTTACGATTATTATGAACAGACAAAATGCAATCACACGGAGTCTTTTGCAAAATACGTTAGAAAATATTCAAAAATATTCAAAAACGTTTGCTTATTAGCTAAATCTATTCACATTTCAGATAAAATAAAAAATCATATAACAAAATTAAGACCACAGAAGAAGTCTTAAATAATGAAACTGGTAAAATGAGACCACGTTCATACCCTGTTGCTCTGAAAATCAACAATGTGATGGTCGATTCTGATGCGAACGTTGCAGGTACATATGATGATTTTTTTTTTACAAATATACCTGCTTCAAGCTACTACTTCAAATTTAAATTCCTACCACCACAATACCAAAATGCTACGCCTCATTTCAATTTGAATATGTTTCTGTTGAAGATATTATAAAAACTTTTAAATTACTTAAATAAAAAAATGCGGGTGATCTATGGGGGCTATCTGTTAGAGTCATCAAATCGATCCTAACATCTGTTGCTCCCTACCTTGCAGATATTTTTAATAGATGTGTTGATCATGGGATATTTCCGGATCTTATGAAGTTTAGCAGAGTTGTGCCTTTGTTTAAATCTGGTGATAAAGGAGACCCTAGTAATTATAGACCCGTTTCAATTTTACCAGCTCTTAGTAAGATCTATGAAAAAAATATTCTTCACCAGTTAACTGTTTACTTTCAGGTTCACAAACTTTTTCACGATAAACGGTTTTACGACGTGTCGCTCGACTATCGATGCAGGTGTAGCATTGTTGAAGCACATTTTTGAGGCTTGGGAGCTCTCAAAAAATGCTCTTGGAGTCTTTTGTGATTTATCAAAGGCCTTCGATTGCGGTAACCATCAGACGTTGGTTTTGAAATTAGAATTTTATAGAATCCAAAAAACGGTAGAATTCAAACAGTTGATATAAACGGAGTGAAGTCGTCTGGATCTCACGTAAGAATGGGGGCTCCGCAAGGCTCTATTTTGGGGTCCTTTTTATTTATATATTTATATTAATGATCTTTCTTGCTTTTGTGAATGACTTCTGTGAGATTGTGCTATTTGCTGATGATACTTAGGGAAGTATCATCATTAGGGAAGTATTTCTATCAATATTAATAATTAGGGAATTATTAATATTGATAGAAATAAAACTAATTATGACGACGTAAATAATGCTCTCTCTATACTTCATAATTGGTTTACTGTAAATAATCTCAACCTCTATGTTATGTTTACGCTTCTTCACTTCAGTGGAACCCATATATTTCGACACTAGTTGGAAAGCTTAGTTCTGCTGCTTATGCCATACGAAAAGTCAGGCAGCTTACTGACGTCGAGACAGCCAGAACCGTTTACTTTAGTTACTTTCACAGTATAATGTCATACGGTATTTTATTGTGAGGCGCCGCTTCAAATATAGAAACCATTTTTATTTTGCAGTAGCGTGCGGTTAGAGGAATATATTATATAAATTAAGCTCACGTACTTCACCGGGGGAGATTTTTAAGGAAATTGGCATATTGACCACTGCTACACAGTTTATTTTCAATTGTATATTATACTCTTTGTGCGTTTGAATAATGAATTGTATAATAAACGGAGTGACTTACACACGCCAGCACACCAAGCTACACATTGAAGTATCTTGTTCCGTTGCACTGGAGGCGATTTTCGAACAAAAATGTAGAGTCTGGTGTGCTGTTGTCCGTACATAATTTTAATACTAGACGTAAATGGAAGCTCGTTTTACCGAAGTTAAGACTTCAGAGGGTTCCCGGTTCTTTTGTGGGGCAAGGAATTCAGTATTATAATAAGATTCCAAAAGTTGTTTTAGATAACTAACGGACTTATAACTAACTGACTGTAACTAACTCTACTAAAGAGAGGATATTATTCTGTTAGGGATTATATAAACGATAAGACAGCATGGTTTTAAAAATTGTGTAAATTTGACGATTTCAAGTATAATTTGTTTGCGTACGAAATAAAGACCATTTTGATTTTGATTTTTATTCCTAGTGCGCAAGGGCGTGTGTTAACTGTAAGAAAGTCTTAGCCGTGGGGCGACGGCTTAAGAATACATTGTCGCCTCCCCATACATGCCCGTGGGGGTCGTAAGAGGCGACCGAGGGCGTCACAAGTGTCCATCTGCTTAGCATTGTGGTAGGCTCTGTGCCGACTGGATAGCGACCACAGTACACACGGCGGAAAACCCTCCACAGTGAAACGCTTTTGCGAATCGCGTTCAGGGATCAGTTGGTGTACATCCAGTGCATTTGGCCAGACCGGCAAAATGATAGTGACGGAGTGAAGATATTTGTGTTTTCCATCCGTTACTCTCATCTCTGGACTGTATTCGCACTTTCCATCATACGCGGTGCAGTCATTTTGTCGAGTCGCAATAAAAAAAAAGAAAAAAAAAAAAAAAACCCACTATACACATTTGCAGCTTTGTCAGCTCTGCCAAGCCGCCGCGACAGAACTCAGTAGGACAATGGCCACGTCACGCATAACTCAAACGACAACGCTCTAGAATTATTATACAATGTGTTGATTAGCATTCTCGCCACATTTACAGAGGTTATTCTATATCCTAAACTGAATCCAAATCACAAAAAAAAGTCGCAAAATAAATTTCCTAAATTGTTATTTTTTATTCAGTTGCGGTAAACATCGATTTGCAATCACTGATCCAAAGCTCATGGAACTTTTGCACGGCACGTGCTATCACACAGCGGATCGACTCTCTCACTCTCTTGTTATCTCATTCTCAAACGCAAGCGGGCGCCTCATCAATCAGTGCGCAGTCAGTTGCGCGTGGTTCGAGAGATGTTTGGTGTTCACCAGAACTGTATTACCATCAAGGTAGTGCTCCTTGTGGTTATCGACGGCAAGTGTGTGACTAATGGAGTGATGTGAAACGTTTAGTTTACACGGCGAAGACTACCGAGTGTCGAGCAATTCCGCGCAAAATCCGTCGCCGCTTTCAAACTTCCACAAGTTGAAATGTGCTAATTGACACGAAACTCTCGACAAAGTACGAATTTTTGCAAAGCCAGTCACGGTGGTGGTTGGTGGACACTTCTTTCTTCTTCATTCCTACGAGTAGGTACCTAACCTAAAATTGGCAAGTATCAAACAAAAAACAAAAAGAAACTCAACTTCAACTTCCCTAATTATTGTAAATAATTAACAAATTGAACAATGCGTAATCATAATAATAAAAAATAGGTAATTAAGCGATCGAGAAAGATTACGTATCGTTTGGTGAAATGCCGAGTGGCCGAGCGCTTGGTCGGACTTGCTCGGGCCCCGTCGGTGTCACTGCCCGGGCGCGATGCATACGATTTAAAGACAATTATGCAAAACTACTAGTTACAATCAATCGAATATTGAACAGAATATATTTTTTAATATTTTTAGATGATTTAGTATTATTTATATTATTAATTTCTTAAGTGTGGTAAGAATACACACTGTATATAACATACTTTAAGTTTAATTAAGACGGTTTGTATTTCAGAACTCGTCGCAGTTACTTAATTCGTAAGAACCTCACCTCAAAAAACGTGAATGTTGAACCTCCTGCTTTGGCTCCGTACAAGATGCCCTTGTCGTTGTTGGCTAGATCGTAAACGTTGGAGATAATGTATACCGGCGTCTTTTGCGCTAGTAACGTCGCGAGGTTCGCTGTGTACGAGCTAGTGATGACTAACGCGAACAGCCACCACACACTCGCTACCGCGCGCGTGCCGTACGCTCTGCAATATGCCACACCCTCACTTACATTAACGAGCTTTTCCGCGCAAATATCATGTAACGTTAGCGACATACACAGGCGCAATCTCGGAACCCTGCAGCAGCACAGCACCAAGGTTGAACCACAGTGCATTGGCGAGTGTGAATTGGTTCTCAAGCGCGACCGGCTCTTCAATGCAAGGGTACGGGTTCTGCCATTCCTCGGGGCACAGTCGGCCAACCGCGTACAGTAGGAGGGATGTGCCTAGATACGCCACGCCCAATAACAGCCACACCTGCGACATACCAGCCGTTATTGCTAAACTGTGAGATTTACACTAAACATAGTGCGTCGATCCGAGAGAGAGGTCGTACACTATTCAAAGAGAGAGAAGTCGTACACTCTTCAAAGAAGGTGCAATATCGAAACAACTACGCATTTGTGTTGATTATTGACATCATAGATGGTCCGTACCCCAGTGGAGAAGGGCAACATGAAGGCGAACACCTTCGGCTCGGGCGGCTTTGGCTTGCGAAACAGGATCCCGATGCCGAGGTTCATGAACGGCGTCGTGAAATCCACCGCGCTTTCGCGTTCCGCTGTTATCGTCAGGTCTGTTATGGCGAAATGTTTGTCCTGTACACACACCAAATTTAACGTGACTATGTATTTTATAAATCGATTTCCCTATATTCAACAATAACAATAGAAAGTACGTGAGGCGTACTATAGGTTTCCGGAATGAATAAGTAAAAAATACTATAAATGGCCAGAAATGAATTTATTGTTTCTCAAGATATTCTCTGTTAGCGTTAATGCACTTTTTCATACGAATGAACCAATTTTGAAAACATTTATGCCACTCCTCCGTGACAATCTCTGAAACATATTTTTCATACTCTTTGACAGCCTCTTCAGGTGATGAAAATCGTTGACCGCGTAACTGGTTCTTAATTTTTGGAAATAAATAAAAGTCATAAGGTACCAGGTCGTGACTGCACGCGGGATGTTATAAGGTCAACGTTGTTCACCTACAAAAATTCATTTATCTATCTGGCTATATATCATTTAGCTATCGTGGTGCAAGATGATACGGCGGTTACGGTTATTTTTACGGAGTTTGTCAATAACTTCTGGCTAACAAATGGTCGTGTACCAATCACTATTCATGGTACAACGATTCTCCAAAATAACAGTAGCCACGTGTCCAGTTTTATTAAAAAAAGAAGCAATCATCCGCTTAGAGGCACTTTGCACGCGCGCCACTTTGGTTGGTTTCGGCTCATCTCGAAAGACGCTCGATTGCTGCTTTGTTTTGGGATTGTAACTATAAATCCATGTTTCGTCACCTGTTACTATGTCCCATACCAAATTTAACGCCCCTTCGTTGAATCTGGTAAGCGTGTCAGCGAGTTTTAAAGTAACGAGTTTTACCGAATAAAACTGAGAAATGTTAAATTAATTAAATTTTTATTGAATTGATATTCAATTATTTTTTGTGAAATTACTCCACTAGTTTGTTATAATTATTAATACAAAGATCTAACACTCAGAAAAACACTCAGAAAAAATTCCTTCGATCCGGTGAATAGCGACATCTCTCGCCAGGACTGGTAGCTGTAAAGGTGCTAACTGGGTGATAAATCTGTCATAGATTTCTCATAGATGGCGCTACGACTAAAAAGTCGCTGAAAGACCTAGTACAAAGACAAGACGCAAACACATAGAAAAATTCGTGAGGTCCGTTGGTTCGTTCGTTCGTTGGTGGGAAATTGTGAACATATTAACAGGTAGACTAATAAAAGCAGTAGATGAAATATTATTAAAATCTTTTAGAATGAAAGCTAAACAACTGTCAGAAAAGTTTGCTCAGGAATTTGAATCAAATGTAAAAAATGTGTTAATAACATGTTATGAACCATTACTTGACGAGAAATAATATATAAATAACCCAACAATGTCAATAAAATGTAATAAAATTATTCAACAAAAATTGTACAGGATAATATATGTAATATTAACGAAAACAAGAGTCCGGGACTTGACAAAATAAGAGCAAAGGACGTAAAATATATAGCCAGTAACATAACTCCAGTCTTAACACATCTAATTAACCAGTGCATTGTTACAAGTACATATCCGGATAAATTAAAAATTGGAATGGTAAGACCAATCCATAAAAAAGGAAGCTATACAGATTTCAATAACTATAGCCCTATTACTATATTATCATGCATAGACAAAATCATTGAAAGATATTATGGTCAAATGTTGAATGGTTTCTTGTCAAGTAACGGGGTCATTCACGAAAAACAATTTGGGTTTCAAAAAAAAAAGTACTACACAATTGCTAACATTGTTCACAGACGATGTAAATAATTACCTTAATAATAAACAACATGTATTAGCTATAATGATCGATTTTAGTAAGGCATTTGATACATTGAATTTAGGAACACTATTTAGTAAGATGGAGCAGAATGGTATACAGGGTCCGTTGTTAGAATGGTTTAGGAACTATCACGAAAAAAGGTACGACATGGTCAACATAAATGGGGAGCACAGCAACTTAAAATCGACTAAGCACGGATGTGCTCAAGGATCAATTCTAGGTTCAACTGAATATCTGCTGTACGTAAATGACATGTGCAATATATTCAGAAACGGCTCTGTATACCAATTTGCTGACGATACTTGTATATTAACAGCTCATAAAGATATAGAGGTGGCGCAAAAGATGGTGCAAATTCTATATTTGATACATTATGTAAATGGGCACATGATGTGGGATTATCCATAAATTATAATAAAACAAAATTAATGCACATTCATTCACCATACTTAAAAGTGAACATAATCCCCCGAATAGTGGCCCATGATCACCAATGTATGCATTTGCAATGCACACCCTGTAGCTGTGAAGCACTGGATTTTGTCAAAAATCACACCTACTTAGGATTAAAAATTGATCATAAGTTTTGTGGGGGTCCTCACGTAGATCATGTATGTAATAGATTAAGAGCAATTCTGGCAAATATTAGTATTCTAAAATGTAAGATGCCATACAACACATTGAGGCTACTTTACTTGTCAATGGCGGACTCTGTTATAAGTTATGGGTTGTCTAGTTATGGCAGAACTTTCAAAACATATCTTTAAAAAATTTATCAATTACAAATAAGACTACTTAAGAAAATTGTACCATTAAAAATTAAACACAAATATAAAGATAACTATGAGAAGCTATTTCAATACTGTAAAGTGTTCAATGTGTATGATAAAGTAGATCTTGCTATAATATCCGAATACCAAGGGAAAATTCAATGTCTAGAAAAAGAAAATAGATTACCAAGATTAAGATTATTGCCTAACATTCGAACATTTAAGCTCCCAAAGTATAACAATGTGTATGGTAGGAGAATGTGGTCTTTTGTGCTGCCAGATGTTTTGAACAGAGTCCCAAAGGAATTAGTACAAAGAATAGAGTCATCAAACAAAAAGCTATATAGTAAAGTACTAAAACATTTGTTTAAGGGTAATATTAAATAAGAGATGTGTGTAAGTTTAGCTAATAAAGGTCGCTGTGGAGGGGACGATGCGTAGAGGACATAATTTTAAAATATAAAAATTCTTACTCTTTAGCATTAAGTTAGTTTTAATTTATATTATTTTTCTGAAATAAACAGCTTAAAAATTTAATTTAAATTTAATTTAATTAATTTAAATTTTAAAAGTTCCGTGGCTTAGTTGATATAGC